AGTTCCCCCATTGGGGGGAGATGGGCAGTTGAAAAATTTAATAAATAAAAATAAATAAAAAATAAAAATTTCAAGTTTAAGAGATTACAAATGTTACATAAGCTTTACATTTTAGTAATTATAAAGACTGTGTAAACTTAACTCAAACCATAGAGGGAATACAGGGTTGTATGTGGCAGTCCTGTGCTGGCTGGGGAAAAACAAGAGAAAGTGTAACCATATTTGGTTGAACATGGTTATAGACAATACATATTCAGGAAAGCTGATTGTGCAATGTTTTCATGCAGCCACAATTTCTTTCAGATTTCCCACTGATATGGATGGAGGAATAACTCTGGTACTCACATCCTCTAGACACTTTACCAGAATTAGGGTGCTAAGCATTTTTGGGTGTTCAGGAAAAAATCCAAAGCAAGTCTATTTCTTTGAAGAATTGTACTTCAGGATTTAAAAAAAATACTTTTAAACTTAGTTGAAAAAAAAAAAGTTAAACATCTGATTGCTTTTTGAAGGGCATGATGTTCATCTCTCTGATAAGAGAATTCTACTACTTGAAGCTGGTCCAAAGAAAAGTTTTAACCGTTTATCAACAGATTATAGTAATAGAGTCAGTGCTATCACACCTGGGTCTGCCACACTTCTAAGTAGTAAGTACAGCATTATCCAGTTACCTGTATGTGGTCTGTGAGTGTATGTAGCTATACACCCACTCCTTGTTTAGTGATCAAGTTCCATTCCAATGACCAGGTCATTAAGCAAAATGGTTGTTAAATGAACATGTGACTGAGAGAGAGAGGATGCAAAGATCACTAGCTGCTGTCTTATTCAAATAAAGTTCTCTTGTACAGCTACACCAGCATTACTCACTCCAAATCAATTATACTCTCAAGCATGTGTTGTTGTCAGGCTCACGATATTTGCACATTGGTTGGAAAATGCATTTTTTATTGCTGTTTATTACTGTTGTATTTGTCACTAACTGAGGTAGTCACTAAACGAGGAGTGGGTATATTGAGTTTCACGTTTGGTATGAAATTATATAGTCTTGCCTCCCCTGCAGGATATTGATTTAAGAGAGACATTAATTATCCACAGGTAACATAAATACTACTTAAAAGAATTTCATATTCACATATTCTTGTCCATTAATATTTGGTCTTGTATAATTAGCTCTTTATGTATTGGTCCAAGGATCATGACCAGCCTACTATATTTCTGGCCCCATTGTTCTTCAGTGTTGGTGCTAGAATCCCAAAATATGGACTTTTGATGTCATAGTTGACTGCCTTCTGACACTTCTCCAAATTTCTTCTTATCATTACTTGGTTTTCTGTGCATATTTCAAGTATATTCTAATTATTTCAATGTGTTGATTTGTAGCTTTTTGTAATTTTTAAAGCTTGTCAGTTTGAAATCTGTTGTGCTACTTGGAAATCTTATTTATGTTGATATAATCTTAACTTTATATAAGTCATCCTGAAAATTTTGGAATATAAAGCACATTTGTGCTTTAAATAAATACATTTGTCAATGTCTTAAAGTTTGTTATAGGTGCTAATACACTATAACAATACCCTTTGTTCTTGGCTACAAAACTCATCTCTGGAATAATAGAAATGTTATCTTATTGGCCATTCTGTTGAGAGCTTCTGCAAAAAAAGAAAAGAACTTTAAAGCTTTTGTCAATCTTCTCAAGAAATGGCAATTGGGCCAAAGTGAAGCTATAAAAATCAATAAAGTAGAACAAAGACCATTCCAAAAAAAACCCTGTAACAGTTGACAGTTTTATTTGTTCTTTGGATCTGAGTTCCCATTAAATGTGTATGGAATGTGGGAGTTAATCCTTTGATACTGCAGGATAATTTTCTTTCTTTTTTAGGCTTTGGTGCATGGGAACATATCTGCAATATGAGAATCAAACCTTTTCGGAGGATGCAGGTATCCGATAATGCAAAAAATATAGTCTATGTCTGGTAATGTGTTACATGTAATAATAGGTGTTGTGGGTTCTTAAGTTACTTTGTTTCTTAGCAGCTACAGTGTATTTCTTCTCTAGAGAAAATTATATGACCTCCAAATCAATTATACATCCTGTTTCTAGTAGGGCCATGCAGTGCTTCAGACATAATTTGAAAAAGTTGTTTTACAAAGCTCAGAGGTTTGGCTTCAGCACCTGTATGCAGCTGTTACAGAATCCTGTGAAAAGATGCCACTATTTTAAATAATTGCAGACAGATACTACATTTGCACCTCTTTATGCTCTGAAGCACCTTTTTGGAATTGGGTCTGAAGCATTACAAAGCCCTAGTTTGTAGGAACTTGTGTAAAAATGTAAAATAATTATTCTTTGCTAGGAAGGAAGCTATCAGCCACGTCCAGTGTTATGTGAACAGATGCTCACTCATACAGTAAATTTCTCTTCCTCCTCACTCCTTTTGTGTACTCACCAAATTTGCTGTAGATCTGGGAACTGTAGAGGAAAACGTGAAGGGGAGGGTATGAAGAGGAATTATTACTATTAGTAATGACTGTTTTGCTAGTGAGCAGACATCATTTGATACAATCCTGTACTTACACAGGAATAATAATGTCTCTTTGTGAATCCTCCCTTTGTATATTCTCAAAAGAATGGAAATATTCTGTATTCTCTGCTACTTAATAATCCCTGGAATTTAGGCATTCAGGAAGTATGCTATACCTCTACCACTTGCTCAATCTTCTAACAAACCATTTTAGGTTAATGAATCTATTAAGGGAATAATATATGTGCGGTGCTGCCTTTGAGTTGAAATTTCTCACTTTTAAATGTCTTCTGCTTTTCAGCATTGATCTCTTTAATCTGCATTTGCTAGACATTTTAGCAGTTGAGTTTTGTAAATGAAAAGTTTTGATAGAGGGGATATTTATGCATTTCTTTACTGCATTTAAGTAGAGTTTCTCTTTTTGTAGGTGTGGGATGCTTGTTCTGAGGCCATGATAATGTTTGATAATGATAACCTGGAAGATATGGGTTATATAGTGGAGAATGATGTTATCATGTCAGCTCTAACCAAACAGTTGGATGCAGTTTCAGGTAGCTACTGTTTTTCCTAATTTTGGTTCACCCTATTTCAGAATAGGATACATAAAGTCATAGAAAGCCATGAAACCTATGTCCAGCAAATAACCTGGTTCTGGTTTATAATAGTGGGCTTCTTGAGGCTTGCTATTTTTGAGTATGGAACTGTCCCTATTCCTTCATATATATATTTTAAGCTGTTAATTCAATTAGTACGGCTTGGATCTTAGTTGGTTTCAGAATTTTACTTCTTTGCTGCTTCTCTTTCATTTCGTGACATTGATACATTGTGTCCCTATTAGACCGAGTGGAAGTTCTCTACAGGAGCAGAGCAGTTGGGTATACCTGGCCCCTTCATTATCAAACTTCTGACTCAAGCCCTTGGGTCCAAATTGATTTAGCAGATGGACGCAGACTTCAGACCAAACTGCTGGTAACTAAGACATAACTTTCTGTTTGATTAGGCACCATCTCTTTTCTAGTCCTTTCTACTGGATTTGGTTCTAATGTCATGTAGTGCAGTTCTACCAGCATGAAGGGGCTAAGAGGTGAGTTGAAATTATTATTGTTGTGATTCTAAATACATTTATTCTGAAGTAATTATATATGGTACCACTTTGAGTATCCATTTTACATATACTTGTAAATAGGTTACATGGGCAAGAGCAAAGAGAAATTCTGGTTGTAGTAGGCAACATCAGAAGTCACATGAGCGGGTTGGTATACTGGGAATTTTTCTGTCTACATTCTCTCTTACTGTCCCGCATGTACCCTTCAGAGCTGTTCTTTGCTGCTTCTCTTTCATTTCATGTACCCTTCAGAGCTGTTCTGGAGGAATCCTTAGGGGAGATACTGGGGAGGGATGTAGTCAAAGATACAGGGAGAAAAGTGCATCACTTTTGCTGCCAGGCAGACACTGCTGAACTTCACCCTTTATCTAGTTAGCTACTAACTGTTCTTAATGAGACCTGGAGGATTTGTATTTTTGTTAAGTGTGTTAATAAACATTATTTTAATTTTTATTATCTTCACAGATTGGGGCAGATGGCCAAAATTCTATGATCCGGAAAGCAGCTGGTATTCAGAATATTCGGTATCAGTATGATCAGTCAGCAGTAGTTGCTACTCTTCACTTGTCTGAGGTCAGATGTTAGAATATCAAGCTGCAACTTTGAACATAAAGAACTAACAGAGAATTAGCAATCTTCACTGGTTTTCATACATTGCAGGCAACAGATAACAATGTGGCATGGCAGAGATTTCTTCCATCAGGACCAATCGCGCTCCTACCGGTAAAGAACTTTGTAACTTTCAAATGACCCAATTCTTAGTCCTTATCTTTTGTTTGCTTTGTTCTTGTTTTCCATTAATTAATAATTGACAGATCTGTTACTACAGTATTAATACTGTTAATACAGTATTTCTTATTCTTATGAATGTACTTTTTTTCCCCTTTACTGTCTCATGGTTTTATTAACATGTTAGACCTTCTATATGTTAGGGTTGTGGTGAGGGCCTTGCAGCGATGTGTATTTTGAGGGGATATCTTGTTTTTGTCTCTTATTAATGGGTCAGCTCTCTGATACAGCCAGCTCTTTGGTCTGGTCCACGTCACATGAACATGCAGCTCAACTTCAGAGTATGGATGAAGAAAATTTTGTGGACTTAGTCAACTCTGCTTTTGTGAGTGTTTTCATTTTATAAAGTGCAGATTATTGATGTTCTCTGATAGCAGACATGAGAAACAAGTAATCAAGAGCAACAATATAATGTTTGAATAATTTTTATGGATGGAAACTATGTTAGTGCTAGTTGGGTAAAAGAATCTATTTTTTTTCTTTTTCTCTGGTTCCATACTTCCTCATATCTTAAACCTAAATTAGACGTCTGCCTAAATATAAGATCTTCTACAAACATTGCATTTATTTGTTTTGTTAATTATTTATTCTGAGAATACCCTTACTGGTGGTTCTTAGAGGGCTTCTGTGTTTGTCAACTCCAAATTCCTCTTCCCATAATATTGGCATGATTGGGGAAGCAGAGGCAGGAGGAGGATATTTGTGTGTGGGCATATTCATTAGTGCTCACATTCCCCCACTCCACTGCCTTTCACCACCTGTGACCATTGAGGATAAAAAAAAAGGTTGCCACTGAGAGCATCATTAACCTATTCAGCCTTTCGCTCACTCGCTCACTCATTTAAAAGATTTATACAGCCATCTATCTTAGTAACGTAAGTCTGGACACCTTATAAACAATAATAAAAACAATAAAAACCAGCACAAGAATTCCCGGTGCCCCCAAAAGCAACACACCCTCACATCCCACAAACAACTTATCTGAGCTTCAGCCACACACTACCCCAATGCCTGTGGGAAAAGCCAAGTCTTCTAGGCTTTTTGGAAGGCTAAAAGGGTAGGGGCCTGCTGGATCTTGGAGGAAGTGTGTTCAAAAGGGCAGGTGCCAGCACTAAGAAGGTGCACTGTGTAGTCCCACTAGATGGCAACATTCAAGGGAAGGAACCTGGAGTGTGGCCACTTTTTCAGACCTCCTAGAGTGGGCATATATTCTCAGGGAGAGGTGGTCCCACAAATAACCTAGCCCCATGCCATTCAAGGTTTTAACGGTGATAACCAGCACCTTGAATTGCACTCAGTGTGAAATGGCAAAAACATGGGGTGTCCAAAACTGCACGCACTGCTGCATTCTGGACTAGTTATAATTTCCACATGATCTTCAAAGGCAGCCCCATGTAGAGCATGTTGTAGTAATCCAGCTGGAAATTTGTTTCAAAAGTCTGTATTTCTGGTTAATGAAATTGAAAAACAGATGCCAAACATCTCTTGCTTTCCATTATCTATCTAGCCTTTATTTTGTTTTAATCTGATAGTTTAGGGCTGTGCAGTGCTTTTGATTCCAGAAATGTGTTTCAGGGTACGTGGACATGAATGTAACATCTGTCTGCAATTCTTAAAGCAGCCATATTATTTCCTAGGATCATATGGCAGCAAGAGAAGGCTGTGCTCCGAAACACCTTTTTGAAATTGAATCTGAAGTACTGCCTAACTGTAGTATATTTTATTCTGAAATAATTCTGTGCCTAATTAATGGCTGTTTAATTACACTGGCACTATGGGAACTGTTGCTGGACGGCATGAGGAATCCATGCTATTGATTGATGCCACCATCTTTTTTGTTTATAGGTTAAAATAACAATGAGTATCAGACTTTATTTTGTCATTGTGCTTCTTAGATGCCACACATAATTATAAGAACTGAGGTTCTTTCTAGACTTATTGAAGTTTTCTTGTGAGCTATTGTGGGTTCTACATGCAAGGAATGTTGAGAGCTTTGACAGCAGGACTAAAAGGAGACTGCATTTTCATTTTAACAAGTTTATTTTTTTCCTGCTTATGACTACTATTCAGTTTGAATTCTAGGCAGAATGGTTATTCTAAAACCGGATTTTCAATATCAGCTCTCATAACTTCAGAATCAATTAGACATATTGTTACCAAATAAATCTTTGTCATTATTCAGTGGAGCAACGCAAATCACTCAGACTTCATTGATACTGCTGCATCCATGTTTCGATCTGCTGTTTCTCTCTTGATGCCATCGGGGACTACCGCCCGACAGCTACCCCCAAGTGTTGCAAAAGTTGATCCTAAGAGCCGAGCTGTATTCCCTCTTGGACTGGGACACGCAACAGAATATGTCCAATATCGTGTAGCCCTTATTGGGTAATTTCATTTTGAGAACTTCAGTGCTATAAATAATCTTTGGCAGCAGGGATTGATTTTTGATATTAGTATTGCTTGAATTATGAAACTCTTAATATTATGTCAGAAGAGAAAAATATGGATGATATAGCTTGAGGTTTTCTTAATCAGGATTGGTAGATTATGCTAGAAGATATGGACTAGAATCCAGTGGTGTCTTATTGGTGCAGAAGTATTTCTGCTTGTTCAAGGCAATCTGGGCACATTCCTCTGATTTTTCCATCCTGATACATCCATCTATAGAATTAGCTTCTACTGTGTGTGGGAAAAAGAGCTAGGAAAATCCTATTATATGATCAACTTTTTTTCTGTATCTACCCTATAATGTTTAGGGATATAGTTTAAGAGAGTTCTATAGTGATGCAGAATATGAAATGTGGGGAATTAGAGTCATGTCTCTTACCAAGAACTAGACTATGGACTGTTCTTTGTGTCAAGTATAAATTATAATTATCCTCTCCTTTTAGTGATGCAGCTCACAGGGTACATCCTTTAGCTGGTCAAGGTGTAAATATGGGTTTTGGTGATATTTCATGCTTGACAAATTATCTAAGTGCTGCAGCATTCAAAGGAAAAGACCTGGGTAAGTATTTAACACAATGAAGCAATTTTGGGTTTTGTCATAAACATCCGGTGTGCCAATGGCCATCCCTTTTGGAATCCACCTAGCTTTATTTTTTAAATAAATTCTTTTAATTAAAAACAAGAATATAGACATGCTGCAAGGCAAAATGCTTGCTTTTAACATTTTTTTTAATGTATTGCAACATAGTGCTTTGTTAAAAATATGCTAATCTGCTTAGAAAAAAGACAAAGCTAATCTAAAATAATATAAGGAGGGCTCCAAGGAATGGAGGAAAGTAACCTTACCAGTGTGCTTTTTGGAAAATGAATCTTTTTAGTGGCTGTTTTGACAATAGCAATGTTTTGGGAATAGTTAACATCCCATCCCACCTACTCCTGTAGCCATTTTTTTGTCCTCAGTGTGCTCCCAGAGTTCCAGATGTGCCTGTTGGTCCCAAAAGATGGAGCACACTTTGATTAAAGGCAACATCAACAATTTCTTCCAGTCTTTTTTTTGGGGGGGGGGCTTGCTATTCAGCTTCTCAGTGTAAAGTTTGACTTAATTGCCAGATTCCAGATTGAATAACATTATCAATATTTTATCTTAATATTAGTATGTGTGGCAAACATGCCCAAACTTTCCAGCTGCTACAAAATGAGTAAAAGTTCTTTTGAAAGGAGAATCCTGTATCCATTATCCAATTAGAAAGGATAAAACTAGAAAGGATAAAAATGCAGCATTCAAATCTCTCTATTCTTATATAATCAAATCTATCTCTGTACATAATGAAAGGTTAATTTAAATTTCAGAAGGAATCCAGGTATGCTACGTTACACACTAGTGTCTGCTTTCTCGATCATGCTGGGATTTTTGTAGGCTTACAGAATGTAGCAGGTTTACCTGTTGATGTAGGCCATACAATCTACCACGTGAGATGGAAATGTTCAAAGAGTGCCATTATTGCCCCTCACATCCTTTCTTTGTAAGCTCTGATATTTTATCAGACTGAGTAATTTTGTAACCTGATTCCAGTCCTCTCTGACCCCCTTGGGATAACCAATTTACTAATTAATTAATTTCAGAATAAACTTTTTAGGTTCTTTAAGTCATCTTCTACAATATGAGAGAGAACGACAGAGGCACAATCTTTCTCTCCTGGCTGCAACTGATTTGTTAAAGAGACTATACTCTACAAATATGGCTCCTTTTGTGCTGCTGAGGACGTGGGGATTGCAAGCAACCAATGCTGTACCTCCAGTTAAAGTAAGTTTTTTAAGTAGCTAATTGAATTTGATAAATAACTCATTTAAATCCAGAAAAGGACTAATGGAAAAGGGGCATGTTTATGGCTAGACAATAGCACCCCTAAATATTTATCTCCTTTTCATATGTGGTATTGATTTGATTTCTGTGTTGGGCTACTCAGAATGAACTAGTAGATCTCACCTGGATAATGTTTTAGAGTTTTCTGTATCTCTTTGCTACCATCTTGTAGTCAATTGATCAGTGCAGCTTAGATCTTGTAATCCTTAAACTTAACTAACTAGTATTTCTATCAAATTTTTCCAACCTGGTACTTTCCAGGTGTGTTTGATTTCAATTCCTAAGGTACCATTCATTAAGTTCCCATAAATGGGGAGAGAGGGGAAGGTTGATTTAAACTATAATCTTATGTATAAGACACACCACATATCACTTATATACTGTTCATACTGCTCTTTTCTCTATTTTGTAGACCACAAAATTTTGCAATTATTTAATGTAATTATTAACTTTGCTAATAAAACAATTAGTTGTTGCCTTGGTTAAGGTGAGAAGATTCCTTTCAAGGACTCATGTAATTGTGCTGATCTGACTTAAATCCAATCAAAATATACACCAGGAAAGTGGTTAAGACACTAAAGACATTAAATGCAATGGAGAACATACTATTCTTTCTAACCACAGACAGGGAGGCTGAGTGCTAGAGGTCTTCTATAGATGTCTGTGGAAAGGACCTCCCTGATTGCACTTTGCCATCTGTGTGATATGTCAGGGCTCTTCAAAAAAAAACCACAGGATTCTAGATACTTCCTCAATGGATCAACAACTATACTGCTTCTGGTGTATTTTGTTTTTTCACTGGTGTCAGTGGGGGGTGAAGGCTTTAAGAGTCAGGAAAAAAGAGACTGTCCCCCACCCCATTACCACATCTAACCTAGTTGTAATGAAGCAAGGTATAGGAAAGTAACAATTATTTTGGTATGGATTTTCCTTTCCCCATAGGAAACCACTTCCTCATTGTTATGAATAGAGGTAGAAGGAATAGAACGCTGAGTAAGATGTCTGTTTTTCCCTTATTCTTTAGGAGCAGATCATGGCGTTTGCTAGTAAGTGACAACCCTGTGAATCCAGAGGTACATGCTCACTTATGATTGCTGGATATCCATTTACATACTATAAAGACTTGAATGTAGTAAAGGAGATATATAAGGTTGTTAGACTTCCTTATTTTGCCTGAAGTTGTTCTTTCTTCCAATGAATACATCATTTGGCTTTCTCTTAGAATTCCAAAAACTATCCAATGGTATTCAATTTCTTAAACTGTAAAAATTGGCCTAGCAAAGGATTATTGCTGGAATATGATTGCTTGTAATCATAGTAACGAACAACTTAAGGTTCAAGTATTGAACCAAGTACAACTTTCTTCTCATCAGCTTGTCCTCTTATTGTCTAGGGGTGGTACAACATAGATGAGGCAGATGTTGCTTGCCAGTTATATCCTTAAGAAGTGTATTATCTGAAAATAAGAGTAGCAACAGTGAATATCAATTACAGACTGCCGAAGAACATTGTTGAAATATTTTAATTACTAAAACAAACATTCAGATGTATCCTAGCATTTTATGTATCAAACAGCTGGGTCTGACAACATCCATGTAACTGTATTACAGCACCAAGTAACAAGAATATGACTATATGAATAGTGATATTCATGCTGTTCTCTGACAAATAATTTCAGAATAAAATGTGTGTTTCTGAAAAAAATATTCTAAAATTTATCATTGCACAGTTACATTCAGTGCTACATATATAGGCTTGTATTAAAGGAAGGGACTTAATCCACTTACAGTTTAGCTTAATTTTATCTACTTAGATTTAAATTACTTATTAACTAACTGCCCCAGTGCTAATTATAATTTATACACCTAACATCTGTCTTCACTTAAAAAAGTAATTAACTTAGTCCTCTGTGTTTATTTCATTAATTCTTTCTCTACCAATTATACAGATGTATCTTTTTCAACAAGGCCATTTTTGCAGATAATGAAATTTGTAAACAATCTCAGTACATTAGGAAAAGCCTAGGCACTAATTTCAAACTAGTACTGGGACCATCAGAGAGGAAAAAAACTTAGCATCTTGCCTCATTCACACTGACAAGCCCCTGATTAGTACTCAAGTTTGTTTAAATAAGGTATGCAGAAGTGAGCTCTTAATTAGCAGGAAATCCACATCCTAGATTGAAGCATGCTGTAATCTAAAGTGACAACGGTCCTGAATTTGTCAAACCTAGATTAACCTTCATATGGAATAATGTTCAAAATCCAAAATCTGCCTGAGTTTACAAATAAAATGGCAGAAGACTGATTTTTGCTGGATTTTCACAAATTAAGGTGTCTTATCTGAAAGCAAGCATCTCTCAATAAACAGATCAGCAGGAGCAGGAGTTACTGAGTTTTTGTCTTGTAAATTCAGCGTAAAAAGATTGGCTGCAAATTACCATTAACACCAAGATCTAGAAAGAAACGGTGATAATAAAGGATAGTTCCTTTCAAATTTTCTAAGTACATAATATATGTAATTCAAGACAAAATTCATATGCACTCAACAGGGATATAAAAGCTAC